TTCAGAGATTGTTGCATTTAGTTGTCATGTCTCTTGAGACTCACTTAATCCCAACAGTTTCCCCACCTTTCATGACATGGATATCTTAAAGAGTCCAGGCTAGTAAATATAATTTTTCTGATTTTTCACCCTTCTGATTATTTTTAGATCAAATATTTTTGACCCAGGTGACATTGTTACTTCCTGGTACACCACCAAGTTAACAATTTTAGGAAATTTAACCCTTAGCTGCTAAGTTTCAGGTAGAGTTTTCTAGATCAAAAATATTCTCTTCAGGGACTTTGATGTCTTAAATGTTTTCTTCCTTCAGACCCGCAAAACAGCCAGCTGGCTGGCAGCAGAGCTCTCAAGAGAAGGCCACCAGGTGGCTCTGCTAAGTGGGGAGATGATGGTGGAGCAGAGGGCTGCGGTGATTGAGCGCTTCCGAGAGGGCAAAGAGAAGGTTCTGGTGACCACCAACGTGTGTGCCCGTGGTGAGCAGAGAACTTGTCCTGGTCTGCCAGCCTCGGGGTGGCAAGAGAACAACTCAGGTGGTTGGAGAGAAGTCACGTGGGGTTGGTGGTGACGTCCTTTTCTAGGAGAGACTGGATTCCCTCAGCAGAGAAGAACTCTCACAGAAGCCAAGTCCTGACTTGGTGGAAGGAAAGGTACAGGCTTCTGACCGGTGTACAATGGCGCCTGCTCCTCGGGCAGCCATTGAGGTTCAGCTGCATCTCCTGACACCAGTGTCTAGCAGAGGCTCTCTAGTGACTTTTTTCACATATATATTTTTGTTTATTTCGGAGAGGGAGAGGGAGAGAGGGAAACATCAAAGCTGAGAGACAGTCATTGATTGGCTGCCTCTTGCACGCCCCCTACTGGGGATTGCACCCCTAACCTGGGCAAGTGCCCTTGACCTGAATCGAACCTGGGACTCTTCAGTCCTCAGGCAGAGGCTCTATCCACTGAGCCAAACCAGCTAGGGCTCCTTCTGAGTTCTTAATCTTGTTAGCACCTGCCAAAGTCCTGTGTTTTCCTCTGGGTTCTGCTCCGTGCTCCTTGTCCCGGAATCCCAGAGCTGGCCCACCCTGACTCCCTCTCCCCAAGTTGGTGTACGTGGACTGTCTCCCATTCCCTACTCTTCTCCATCTCTCCTTCATGCAGGTATCGACGTTGAACAGGTGTCTGTTGTCATCAACTTTGACCTTCCTGTGGACAAGGATGGGAACCCAGACAACGAGACTTACCTGCACCGGATCGGGCGCACTGGCCGCTTTGGCAAGAGGGGCCTGGCAGTGAACATGGTCGACAGCAAGCACAGCATGAACATCCTCAACAGAATCCAGGAGCATTTTAGTGAGTCCCGGGAGTGTCCTGCCTTTCCTTATGGGGCAAGTCTGGGGGTGGGTGGAAGGGTAGGTAGTCCTGTGGCCCCTAGACAGGCTTTGTCCCTTTGCACATTCCCCTCCTCCTCTACAATCGGGAAGTCCTCAGAGAGCACACCTGGGAGTTCAGTGTCAGGATTCGAGTGTTGGTTCCCCTTGGCCAGGCTGAGGGCCTTGGACTCGGACTGTTGTTGTCAGTGTCTGTCTCAGACACCAGAAGACTGGGTTTAACCGGGGGATGGATGTGGGCAGAGGCAGGGCTGGTTCCTAGCCAGGGCAGAGACCTGTGTTTTCTCTCCCAGCTGGACTGCCCCTTCCCTAGGTTTGTGTCTCCGTGTAACCCCATGTTGATCTCTTTGACTCTTTTTTTATTCTCAGATAAGAAAATAGAAAGACTGGACACGGATGATTTGGACGAGATTGAGAAAATAGCCAACTGAAGCTCCTGCAGGTCCTGCGCAGGAACCTGGTGCTTTCACAGCACAGGCCTGGACGTCCCCGAAGGACAAAGGCACGAGTGGAGAGAAACACCTGCCTTATTTTAAACTACGTTTGGCCTGGACAAAAATTATGCAAATGATTGAGAAAGGTAGAGGAAAATTTTGCATTTGAGAAATGTAGTCCTTTCCCACCATTTTTTTAAGCCAAGGTTTCCCCCATCTTTATAGTAATCTGGTTGCTATTGGTATTCACTGGCCCCAGGATTCCATTCCTGC